GTTCTAATACATGGTTACACAACTACCAATAGAGGAAGAACACATATAACCAGAGACTACACGTGGAATAGATACACAAGGAGAACACGTATCGCCAGGGTACAGGCATGGTCCTGGCAACTAACACCTCCTGTGCTGCAAGGCGGCTGACGCTGTCTAGTGATTTCAACATCTTTCTTCTCTGCTAGGTGTATTGTTCTATTACATGCCTCATTATCACTGCTGGGTTTGATGGCGGCTGATGCTTGTCATCTCTGCTAGATGTGCGTTTGCCAAGCTTCTCTATGCTCCCAGCTTCTGGACTTTATCTCTTCAAGGCCATCTTCTAGCCATCTTAACTCCTTTCTATTAGGGTGACATCATTAGAAAGCCTTGGCCAAGGACAAGTAGACATTTCCTTAATCGTGGCCAGAGACTAAAGCCTGGGCACCCAGCTAAGGGGCTAATGAATAAAGGTCAGGCAAAGTACTTCTAGAGCAATATTAAGTTTTTATAGTTCCCCATGTCTCATGCTGAATTGTAGTACATTGTTGAAATCAGAGTCCACTGTTTCAGGTAACTAACTGTATGAACCCAGGGTTTGAAATTCCCAAGAACCTTTTAGGCTTGCTTTGCAAACTGATTTGAGCTAAAAAAAATGCTAAGTGGTAAAAGCAATATCATTATTCTCCACCCTTTCTTGCCTAAATTTTTGTACCTTCCCTCCCCATCTCTCTCTTCTCTCTTTCTCTTTCTTTCTTTCTTTCTTTCTTTCTTTCTCTTTCTTTCTCTCTATATATACATATATAATCTCTTTATATATATAATTTTATTTATTTCTCTCTCTCTATATATAATTTTACATTATATACAGAGATAAGGCGAGAAAAAGAGAGAGAGAAATGCAGGAATTGAGGGCAGAAAGGTAAAGAATAATGATGTTGTTTTCTTCACTTAATTTTATATACATATATAATATGACATACGTATTTTATAGAATAATATACATTAATTATATGTTAGCAGCATATGTGCATGTATTTACATATATAGACATATACACAAAACCAACATCCAGTTTTAATGCTATATTTTGGTCAGTGAAAAATCTTGTAGTCTTCTTACTTTAAAAGCAATTTCACATCTGCATAACACTTTGCTGTTTGTAAATACTTTCATCTCAGCCTCCTAAGGTAAGTAGTGCTACCATTATCCCTATTTTACAGAACAGGAAACTGAAGCCCAGAGAAAGTCAAATAACTTCCCCCCAAAGTCATCCTGCTAGTTAGCGGAAGAGCTAAGACTATGGTGAAGTCTCCCTCCTTCAAGACCACTGCTCTTTTATGCGACAACCAAGCTTCTCCTTTAACAAAGAAAATCCAAAACAACCAAGCATTGGACTTGAAGTCACAAAAGCTTAGTTTGCTTAAGTCCCAGCTCTGTCACTTACTGGCTGTGTCTGTGAGCAAACTAGTTCATCTCTCGGGCTTCAGTTTCCTCATCTATAAAATGGAGAAAACTTGTACTACCTATCTTAGTGAAGTATTGTGAAGAAAAGACTTTATAGATTTTAAAGTGTTGTCTAAATGTAAGCTCTTATCATTATTATTATTATGCAGAATTTTTTCAACTACAAAAGGAAACTTCAGCACTTACCCCATTACATTCTGGTCTGGGTTCTCTACTTCAAGACGTGACTCCATTTGACCTAAGTTTCTTGATCTTTTAACCTGTTAAGAAAGGAGAAAAATAATAATTTAAAGTGTATAAGTATATATTAATCTAGAAAATTGTGGAATATTAGCTCTTGGCAAAATTATCCATTTTAAATTTTCTTTAGAAAATGTGACTTTCTTTCTCTTCAATATGGTATTACAAACAGAACTGTTAAGTGACTTAATTTACCTATATGTGCCCTTCATCCCATCCCCTTCCATCTTCTCTAGCAAACCGAAACCTCAATCATGTTCATCTTCTTGCTCTCTCCTGCTCTTTCCTTCCCTCACTCTCTTTAATCTTTCCCCAGAGCTTCCTTACTGCCTTCAAACGTGCCCGTCTCCCTCAAATTCTCACTAGACCCTACCATCCCCTCATTCTATATCACCTCCTTTTGTCAACCAAACTTCTAGGAAAAGCTATCTACCTTCATTACCTCCCTTCAGCCTCATCAAGCAATTTAATATATTCTCTCCAAAGTTACCGAGTCTTTTAATTTTCATATCTAAGAGTATTTTCTTAGTCCTCATCCTTCTTGACTTTTGTGCTGCACCTTTCTTTTTAGATACTCCTCATAACACTGTTCCCTCTTGGTTCTCCTCCTTCCTTTCTAACTGCTCCTTCTCAAATTCCTTTGCTTGCTCATAATCTCTACCACACCCCTATGAGTATTCTCCAAAAGTATGGCATGAGTCCTCCTCTCTTTCTTTATTCTCTTAAGTGTCCATATCAATTCCTATGGGTTTAATTATCATCTCTATGCTGATGATTTCTACAGCTACATATACAGTACCAGTCTCTCTCCTGAACTCTTGTCTACATCACTACAACCACATCACTAACTGCCTATTGGACATTTCAAACTAGATGTCACAGAGCATCTCCAAATCAATATGAACAAAACACAAGTCATTAATTTTCTATTCAAACTCTATCAAACTTCCCTATTTCTGTTGAGACTCCCAGCCTTCCAGGTTAGTAACTTCATTTTCATCCTCAATGTCTCATTCTCCCTGACACCTTCTCTGCCTCTCCCAATCTTATTGATGGCCAAATTTGTCATTTCTAACTCTATAACATCTTTTCATTTGACCCCACCTCATTTTCATTTGAGCCACCACCTCAGTGGATCAGGCTTCATCACTTCTTGCCTACACTATTGCAACACTGCTCTAATTGGTGTCCCTGCCTCAAGTCTTTTCCCCTCTAATTTATCCTCCACACAATTGCCACAGTTTTTTTCTTTAATTGCAGATTTGACTAAGTCAGTCCCCTTCTCAGTAAAATGCATTGGCTCTATACTTGCCTTAAGGATAAGATACAAACTGCGACTTTTAAAGCTCTTTACAATTTGCCTCCAATCTTACAGCTTTAGTATTACATGTACTCCCTTTACCACACTTATGGTCCATACAAACTGGACTTCTGTGTGTGTGTGTGTGTGTGTGTGTGTGTGTGTGTGTTTTCTCTCTGTCTCCCTCTTTCCCCCTCCTGTCCCCACTTCAATTCCTGATATGCTCTACCTCATAGAATCAAGTGCCTGACCTCCCCAGCTATCAAATATTTAACTATTTTGTATTTATTATGTTACTTACCTCCATAAAATATAAGCTACATGATAGCAAGATCTAAGTTTTACTTGATTTTGTATATACCCAGTGCCTGGAATATTAGACCACCTGAGATAATACATGTATAGCACTTTTCAAACCTTAAGGTACTATATAAATGCTATTATTGTTATATGGTTAATTAAAAAAACTTGTTGGTTGATTATGTTAGCTTCATGTAAACTTCTTTGCCTTCTCTTTCTGTTCCTCTTCTGGAATACCAATACACTGACCTAGGCGGCTCAAAAGATATGACTTAAATTCAAGTACTCTAGCCACTGAATGCCACAAGTCTTGAAGTCTTGAATTCTAGAGTTGATTTCAGAAGTCAACTTTCAAAGAATAATACCCAAACTCTAAAAATACCCACTGCCTATTTATTTCGGAGTTGTTTGTCCCAGCAACCGTCAAATAGATGTGTGTATATGTATAGATGTTCATCTATATACATTCATATATACAAAGGTGTATATTTAAATCTGCGAGAATAAAATGCAAACAAAATACAAAATAAAGGCTGCTTATGGAAAAAAGAGAAAAATATTCTAATTTTATAAATTGGAGAATTATAAAGAAGAGGAGGAGGAGGGGAGGAGAGGGAAAGGAGAGGGAGGAGAGGAAGAAAAAATTAGGTGAGAAAGAAGACAATCAAGGAGGAGGAGGATAGAAGAGGAGAAGGGAGGGATAAGAGGATGGAGGAGGGGGATGAAGGAGGAAGACAGGAGGAGGATGCAGAAGGAGAAAGATGGAGGAAGGAAGATAAAGGAGGAGGAAGGAAGAAAGGGAGGAGTTGGCAGATGGAGGAGTATTAAGGAGGTAGAAGGTTGTTGTTGTTTATTGTTGTTTGTCCTTCATTCTCCAAGAGGAGCATGACATCAGGAAGGTGATGCCATGACTTGTAAGTGAATTGGATTTCAGTGAGGGAGGGCTGTGCAAAGTCACCAACCTCACTTTCTCCTCCGGAGCCATCTGGGTCCAGTGGACAGATACAGATTAGGTTGACAGGAGATGGCCCCAAGGAGGTGGAAGGAGGAGTATTAAGGAGGTGAGAGACGGAGAAGGAGGATTAGTCGGCCTGAGATAATGAAAAATGAAACGTTTGCACTAACATCACCTCCCAAACCCCCATCCGCACGAAGTTCCCAACTTCGCTCATCCTCCGCCACTGGCGCAGGGGGGTCCGGCCCGGGGGCGTCCCTGGCAGGCTGGGCCCGGGTCACCCTCTCCCCCTGTCCAGCCCGGGACAGCTCCCGGGGCTGGGCGGGCCGGCCCGGGCCTGGAAGCGCGGTCAGGTACCTTGGCTGCCCCCAGCTCTCGGCTGCCCGAAGGAGGGGACGAGGAGTAGGGTAACGTCGATCTAGCCCGCCACGGTCTCGGCCTCTCCGCGTAAGCCGCCGGGTAGCGCGTCGTGGCCCCTGCCCCAGCTCCGGCTCCGGCCCAAGCTGTCCCTTCTTTGGCCAGGCTAGGCCCGTTTGTTCCCCAGCTTTCCCTCCGGCCCGGCAGCAGTGGTGGCGGCGGCGGCTGCCGCGGCGGTTACGGGCCTGGCTCCGACTGGCTCTGCCCGCCACCGCTCCCGCCGCTTCCCAAGGCTGCTCCCGGTTGCTATGGCGACGCGTGCCCCGCCCCACCCAGGGAGGAACGCAGCGGCCAAGCGCGCCGGGAAGCCCCGGGACGCTGGGAGGTAGGGAGGGGCGGCGGCGCTGCCCGGCCGCGCCTGCTTGCGTCCCCGCGGGCTCGTCATGTATGCCGGGGGCTTCTGGGCTCCAGATCTTAAATTAAAGTGTAAAAGAAGGGACGGGACGGTGGAAAACAGCAGGTACTCCCTGGCTGTCACACTCATCTTCAACTCGACTTACTTGCCGCTGCCTTGGGTTTCGCAACGAAAAGTGCCAGGCAAAAATGTAACCAACTTCCTGTTACAAAAATTAGGAGCATTCCCTACTCAGAAATAGTAGTTATGTGTATGAATATAATATCTTTAAAAAATGAAAATTCACCTTAGTTTTATTGCCTTCCTCTAGTAGATTTTGAGCTCTTATGTTTGCTTTTCATTTTCATACATTTACATTGATTTGCTGTTTTAATACCACTGTCCATTTTAATACTCATTCTTATATCCATTCAGTTCCATTTAAGTTATAAAAGACAACTTTGATCATTTCTTGTCAAGATGAATTTTCTAGATAAAGTCTATAAAGTGGCTTAGGTAATGAGTTCTAGCAAGTGTTCCTTAGTTCTTCCATTGTGACTGAATAAAGAAGAGGGATCATTCCATCTTAACTTGAAATCTTCTGTTATGTTGAAGGTCTTGGTCATATTCATGAATCATTTCTAAACTTAAATGGTTCAAATTTCATCCTTGACCTGGAGAAGGGAAAATGGAGCTTGAAAAGAAGCTTAACATATTATCATAGTAGATGGCCCAAAGTCACCTGTATGCACTCAGTATGAATTCTGACTAGTCCCTATACAGGCAATATGGAGCAAGTCCCTTTTAGCTTTATGGACTTACATAAATTCATCATTATGAAGACTCAGGGGTCTGGCTTAAGATGTATGGACAGAACTTATAGAAATGGTTGAATAGAAAGAAGAACTTCATTTCTCGAGAAGCTTTTCCCAGTCCACATAAATTAGTGCCTTCCCTCTAAGAATACCTTCCATCTACCATCCATATGTGTGTGTACCTTGTGTATTCACAGTTGTAGGTTTCTCCACCATTAGAACGTAAGCTCCTTGAGGGCAAAGACCACTTTTGCCTTTCTTTGTATTTCCAGGCCTTAGCACAATGCCTGGCTTATAATAATATAAGCTTAATAAATGCTTTTTGACTAACTCGTAGGTATGGTTTAAGCCGCATTTTTTTTTTTTACAAATAAAGGTAAGTACAGGGCAAGACTATCAACAGTAAAGTAGAAGTCTGCTTAGGGTCATAGATTTGGAGCTGGAAAAGCCCTTAGAGGTCATCAAATCTATCCTCTCTACCCTCATTTTATTTACAGATGAGGAAATGGAGGCTCTGAGAGGTTATGAGACATGCTCAAGATTACACAGCTAGTAAGGGTCTGAGGCAGAATTTGAACTCTGTCTTCCGGACTCCAAGCCTAGTGCTTTATCCTCTATGCCACCTAGCAGTTTGTGTACCATGATTCTACTCAACCCCATAAGTATTTGCCCTATCTTCTCATGAGGTTTGCCTAATTTTTTTTTCCTAGGGATAAAGTCTTTGAATCCACAATTAGAATTAACTGTTGAAGATACAGAGACCCCAATGTAAGTATCAATTACTAATACTAGAAACTTCCTTGAGAATAAATTTTGAAAAGGTAAAAGAATAGAGAGCAAAAGAGAGTTAGGTACCTGAGAAGGGAAAGGGCTTTCTCTGAGATTATAATAGTTGCACAAAAAGGAGAGTGAAGATGTGAAAGGTAACTGCCTTCTTCATAGTTTTGCTAAGATTTGATCCTGTATAAGGAACAGAAGTGATAGATTTCAATCCTAAAACAGTCTACACATGTGTGCATATGTGCATGTGCCTGCATACAGCATATTTGACACCTCCATTGTAGACCACAGAAGTGTGAAACAATGTATGGCAGTCATTGCTGGGAAGAAACACACCTCTCTCCATTCCCTTCTTCAGGTATTCCAGATCAGAACTCCCTTCATCCCACATTACTTATATATCTGGATGAGACTGCAGAACTAGTATTGCATTTAAGTTTACCTTAGTCCCTGGGTTCACCAGGAATCCCCAGGAATTTATTGGCCCAGATCCTTAGTACACACTCCTCATTGCCTCCAGTGTCAGCTCCCCAGTATTTGCAAAGATATCACCTTCACCAACATAGGCTTCCATCAAAGCAGGACCCTGAAGGATGGACCTCCAGTCAAGTTGTACTTTCTCATCTTATGGCCAGGAAAATCCTCCTTCCTAATCCATGTGATTCGGAACCATCTGCTAAGTAAACAAGCAAAAAGCAACCACCCTTCTCCTGCTGCTTTTCCTTTTTAATCTCATCCCAATCCATCTCAACTCTACCCTTCCCCAGTCCCTTTCCTCCTCTGCCCCTTCAGTTATGGTCTCTGAAACTTTCATTCTATCATTAGCAATCTACTCTTCCTTCTAGATCTCTTCACAATCTGACAAGCTTCTTATATTCACTTAAGTCTGGCAATCTCCAGAAAATACATCTCTGGCCATCATTTCTAGTCCAAGTGGTTTCTTCTCTCATATCTTCCATCCTCTGCCCTGCGGTTGAGCAGGAGGAATATTCTTTCCTTCCCACTGCCACATACAGGTCTTCAGCAGCTTCTCTTTTGATGCTGACTACATCACCTGATCCAGATTTCTTTAATTTACCGGTTTTCAAGTCATTCTTCTCCCATTCTCAGTGAGTTTAGGAGAAATTGGCTACTGAGATGGAAATAATGGAAACTTTGGGGGGTAAGTGATCATCCTTTATTAGGATGTACAACAGAGATAGAAAAGGAAACAAGATCTAACTTGATATGCACCCTAAGTTTTGGGAAAAGAAATTTCAAAGGTTTCAGGGAGAGCATAGGAACTGCAAAGTGAGTGTGCCTAAGAGAGATAGAAACAAGGGCATATTGGAGCTAGCTAGTACCAGCTCACAAAAGTAAATTGTTAAATTTTTCAGCCTGAGCCTTTATGCCCCAGAAATTGGCAAACTATAAATCAGGGCTTGTTATACTTGTTGATTTATTGTTATACTGATTTTTAAAATGATGGCCAAAATATTAATAATGCAGATTATATTTAAAAGTATGTCGTGTACTTTTTTTTCAGAGATCTGGTTGTTAAACATTTACCAGCACATCTTCAGAGAGAAAGCTCTCAAGAATGAAAAGAGAGACAATTCTGATGAGAAGGGAAAGGGAGAGTTGTACAGAGAAACCAATATAGGTGCGTCCAGAACACAACTACCAACTTAGATTTTTTAAAACATATGTATAGAAAGTGAAATCAAGGAGAGGTTATAGACAATATATAAGCATAAGACAGTCTGGTAAGAACAGTGTTGAGAAAAGCTATGCTCAGAAGTTAAAAAACAAAGCTAAGAATAATGAAAGAGGTGGGGTTCAGGGAGGGGCAAATGGAGACAAGATCAGGATAAAAGAAGGAGGAGGAAGACCACTGATTGGGGTGAATGGAACAGTGATCAAAATATCAGAAAGGACAAAGCTGCTCAACTCTTTTTTTGAGAAATTTTGCTTCTATTTTCTTATCCATAAAGGAATACCTTTGACCTGGAAAGGACAGAAGAAAAATGGCAAATAAGGAGTAGGTGTAATGGGAATTCCTTTTGGGATATGGGTAGGATTAGCTGGCTACTCATTCCCTTTTCAAATCTAAAATTTTTTGATTCTATGATTGAATTGATACCCAACAAGTAGGAGAGATAGTAAAGGGTTCCCCAGTTGACCTTGATATATTCAAATCAGCTGGCCCAAATGAACTGGCATTTAGGGATGCTGAAATAACTACCATGTGTGATTGCTGAACAGTGATTAATGAAAGAATGTGAAGAACAGGAAACTCTCAGAATTAGAGAAAGGTGAAAGTTTCATTTTCTAGCAAGGGAAGAGAAAGCATTATCCTAGATTTATAGATTTAAAGCTGCAAGGGGTTGTCAAAAATAATCTAGTCCAACTTTTATTTTATAGATGAGGAAACTGAGACCCAAAGGGGTATGTAGCCTACCCAAGGTGACATCAATTAGTAAACAGAACAACTGGGATTTAAATTGAAGTCTTCTGATTCCAAATCTATTGTTCTTTCTGTTGCAGGAATCTGCAAACTATAGGTCGATGAGTTTGACTTTACTCTGGAATGTATTATTAAAGGTGAACATGTGGAAAAGGAAATCAGTGATCACAAAGAACCAATATAACTTCATCAAGAACAGGTCACACTGTATTAACCCTCTTTCGTTTTTCTTGTACATGGTCACTAGTAATCACTGCAATATAAGTCCAGATAACAATCACTGTAATGTAAATCTAGCTAGTTTATCTAAATATTAGCTGTCAGTATTTGCTAAATTTTTAGGAAAGTAAATCATGCTATTTTGGGGGGCAAAATGGCACATCATAAGTTAGGTGGTGGTATTGGATTCAAAAACTGGTTGAATAATTGTTGTTCAGTCGTGACTGACTCTTTGTGACCCCATTTGGGGTTTTCTTAGCATAGATACCAGGTGGTTTGCCATTTCCTTCTCGAGATCATTTTACAGATGAGGAAACTGAGGCAAACAGTGTTAAGTTACTTGCCCAGGGTCACACAGCTAATAAGTATCTGAGGCCAGATTTTAACTCAGCATTCTATTCATTGCACCACCTACTGCCCTAAATGGACCAGGCCCAAATAGTAGTCACTAATGGTTCAATATCAGATTGGAAGGGAATCTTAGATATTTCAAGTAGCAGGGAACCTGTGTCTGGCTCCTTGCTGTTCATAATGTATATCAGTGGCTTGCAGATACACATGCATGGCATGCTTATTAAATTTGCAGGTAACACAAAGCAAGAGAGGGATATTTAACACACTGGATGATGGAATCAATGTACTGAAAGATTATGGCCAGGGTGAAAGGAAGGGCTGCATCAACAAGATGAAATTTAATAGGGATAAATAAATGTCAAGTCTTACACTTGGGTTCACAAAATCAATTTCACAAGTACAAATCACAGAAGCGTGGTGTCTCAAATTTAATAAAGGCAATTAAGGTATGTATTCTGAGCAAAATCAGTTTATTAACAGTGATGCATTTAATTGTTCACAAAGAGGGTCAGACTGGCCACCTTAGAGTAAAGCCAGAAATGCCAGTGAGAAAAGGGAATGCTCTTTGTTGACACTCTAAGAAGAAGGGGGTCTTGGGTACTTGTGCAACATGACAATTGGCTTTACCGAGAAAAGTGGGCTGGCATTCAAGTGAAGCTAATCATGCCCCTCTCTGACGTTCAAAGAATGTTAATTGTTTTATGCGACCCATTTGCATGTTATAATCTTTGCTAGAGGATCAAAACTACTAGACTTGCTATTGGAAGAGCTGCTTGCTATCCTTGGAAGAGATAAAATCTTCCCTAATTTCACAAGGACTGGCAAGGACAGATGACATATCTTTTGGGGATGGTACAAAGTTTCCCGGCGGCTAGCAGTATGAGAAATAAATTTTCTTTTAATTATTCCTTTAAACTAACTCAGGGAAAAGCAAAATTCCTGAGCTCTACTCAAGAACATAGCAAGGTGGCTTTAGGCATATGCAAACTCAATTATAAAATTAATATGTCATAAAATCAATTACATTGTAGAATCAGTACAGCAGGAATCAATAGAGAAAAAACTAGAAGCAATATTAATTTTGATATTTTCAATAGGTAGATAGCAATTCCTCTGAAAAAGGCATGGGTTTTGGTCGACTGAAAACTTGACTGAGTCAACAATTCAAGAGGGCAGCCAAAACTTTTCAAAAGATCTTAAGCTACACCAAGGGAAAGGTAGTATCTAGGACAAGGGATGTGATAGGTCCACTGCATCCTGCCCTAGTCGGACCTTATTTGGAGTATTATGTTTTGTTTTGAGTGCTCCATTAGGAAAAAAAAATTGACAAACAGGACAGCAAACCAAGATAAGTAATGGTACTGAAACTTACTTGGTGCTTTAAGTTTGTGGAGCACTTGGCATATATTGTTTATTTTATCCTCACAACGATCCTGTGATGTAGATAGTAATCCTTTTCCTGAGGAAAATGAGGCTCATAGGGATTAAGTGACTTGCCTGAACCATACAACTAGTGCATGAAAAACGATTTCAAAGTCAAGTCTTCCTGACTAAATATGGTACCTAACTCACTAGCCACTTACTCACTGTGTGGACGGCTAAGGGCTATAAGATTTTGCCTTGTGAGGATTATTTAAAGGAAATGATGATATTCATCTAGAGACAAAAAGAAATTAGAAAACATGATAACTGTTTTTTAAATATTTGAAGAGTTGTCACATGAAACAGAGATTAGAATTGTTCTGACTGACCTCACAGGGTAGAGCCAAAATCAATGGGTAGAAGTTATAAAGAAGCAAATGTAGGTTTATGTAATGAAAAACTCTCTTAACAACTTGTGGTTGTGGTTTGTCCTTCATTCTCGAAGAGGACCATACTATCAGGAAGATGATGCCATGACTTGCAAGTGATTGGATTGAAGTGAGGTAGGGCTGTGCAAAGTCACCAGCCTCACTTTCTCCTCTGGAGCCATCTAGGTTTGGTGGCCAGATATAGATCAGTACCACTGAAGACGGCCCAGCCTTAACAACTAGAGCTATCCAAAAGCAGAATAGTCTGCCTGGCAGGCAGTGGCTTCTGCATCACTGGCAGGTTTTGAGGAAAAGCTTGATGATCACTCCCCTGGGTTGTTGTAGAGGGGATTCCTTTTCAGGTATGGGTGGGACTAGATGACCTCTGTAACTCTGAGTTTCAGTGATTAATACATATGTCAGCAAAGGATTTGGTTATTAAGCTCATTTTACTCCTTCATTTTCAAAAGATTTTCTTTGAGATCTCACCTGTACCCTTCCAACAGATCCTATGCAGTGTAGCGCCTGGTGCAGCCCTAACGTTCCTTCTTGGGCATATTACAGATTGAAGGCTTCCTTCTAGATTTCTATCATAGGTAGGAGGCAGAATCATTCTGTAAAACAGGTGAGTTCTGTAATCAGGAATATGCGTCATGGAATTGGAGGACCAGAGACAATAAGCTGTGTTTGAAGTAGAAACAGGGTCAAAAGTAGGAATCATACTAAAGTCAGAGGAGGGTAGCAAGAGAAGAGCTTTGGGGTAGGCAAACGAATTATCTTGATTCTTTATTCTCCCACCCTCCATTTCCATTCAGTTGCCAATCTAGTCACCTCTACTTTTACAATTTAGTAGGATATAAAGTATTGAGCTTGACTGAATTCCTTAAATTTAATGGACTCCAATGTTCTGTGAGTGTGTATGTATATGTATACCCAGCTATGTGTACCTGGCTCTATCAGCTTCCTCTGAATATCCTTCTTATGAAAATGGCATCTCTCCATTGTTTTCTCTAAGTTGCAACTGGATACTATGTACTATAACTCTCAATTAGGAAAAGTTTCGAAGAACTTAACATAACCAATCATAAAATAGGAAGGTTTCCTTCACAGGCATAATGTATATTGAACACAAATTTGAATATTAATGAAGTCAGGCATTATTGTGGTTGTTTGGTGTTTGTCTATGATAAGAATTCAAGGAGTTATGGAATTTGTCCCTTTATAACTCTGGGTATCATACTTGACAACTTGCTTATAATAAGTTGTCTTGCTATTGACTAAAGGCTATTATCTAGATATAGAAACATATGCGTAAGCATATACAACCATGAATAAACACCCTGACTTTTATAGTACTAGTAAAAAAAAAATGTAGTGCTTGTTTCAATGAGATAGCAGAGTTTTATTCTTTTTCAGTGTCACTATTGAATAATCATAAGAAAAATAAGATATGCAGGCTGAAGAAAAATGACTGTTTCAGCTGTTTTGTTCCTTTTTTTATCTTATGAGACTACTCATCATGATGCTACTCTATCTTTTCTTTGTATAGACAGAATAAAGCATCTTTGCTTTGTTTCTTCTTCAATGGCATGTGAGTTGATGTAGTTATAATAAAACACTGTTTGGGCATACATCTCAGTTTATCATTGAGAGAAACCACTTTTACATAGTTCAATAGGAAGAAAAAACAACTAGTTTTCTGTTCTTTTTTTTTTATTGAATCAGCCATTAAAACTCTCAGACCTGCA